TAGTTACAGTTACATGGCTGCATCCCATGCATTAATAAGGGCAATGGGGCCATAAATCAAAACAGGAACCTGAAAATTTTTCCCCCCTCGGTGTTCCACACCCTTCAAACCACTGCCCTGTATTAAGAAGCCAAGCACTCGCTCTTGAGTTCGAATCACTATTTAGCACAACCAGGATTGAACATTATTCATCTATAATAAATAGGGTCTCGGGTGCAATGCTTCTAGTTGACGCTTATAAAATGATTTAGCAATTACATACCATCATAACCAAACGCCCAGTTCTTGGAGAAAACTGCAAGAACACAATAAACTCCTCCCACCAAAGGAAGCAGATCCAACGACGCAGGCTGAAATGGATCAGTCCGACCTATTTTCCTCCCGGGCCAGGGGGGCCACGGGGAGGCTTGCCGCGACTGGAGTTGGCTATTCCAACCCCAGCCGCCCCCCACCCACGAACTATTCTGACAGACCTTGAGATTTAAAATACAATAAGTAATTGTTGATGAGATCTCAAGAGCCTCAGACATGTTGTTCAGAGGGTAATATGAGCTTCCACTGGTTTTAAAGCAGATACAGAGAGAAAATAAACATGGACAGTTTCATCGCATTCGGATGGAAATCAAATCTAAACACTCAGTCATCAGGTCTCCATCAGATCTAATAGATGCGTTTTAATTTATATAGCCATCCTAAACCGTGACAAGCATTGAGTCTTTTAACCCAGTTAAGATCGATGAGAGAATTGGACAGGCACACACAGAATGTATCGTCACGGAGACTTTACCTAAGCGCTGACCAAAAGAAGGGTAAGGGTAAAATAATAACAGTTGTTGCCGCAAGTGAAACTGAAGTTCCTGAACCCAGAGTCTACCAGTCTGCCAGAAGAATGGTAAACCCTGACCTCGATTTCAGCAACATTATTTTGAAAGCTTTTCAGTAAGAATGGCCAGAAACCTGTCAGAGCAGAGACTCGTCTCCAAAATAATATTATGACTAGTAAAATTTGTACATAATTGAGAAAAACATTCACATACATGATTAGAAAGCTGCACCTGAGTATTGAATTGGCAAAACCATGCACAAAGTGCAACCCTTTTTCATATAAAATAAAATATAGATAAAATTCAAAACAATAGTGTCGCACACAATGGCAGGACATTTGCCATCATTTTAAGATAAAATTTAGTCATTGAATAGCTAAACAACAATGAGAAGACTGGAGATTGAAATCAAAACACTTTCCTTGACTATACTGTCTTTCACTTCAAACTCACAGGCATAGGGCATGGCAATGCAGAGTGTTCCACATTTTCAACAAAAACACACGTAAAGCTCAGCTGCCATATTGATTGTTCTTGAGGCAGGTAGAGAACTCGGAACTAAAGTTGGTCCACAACACAAATACTTGTTGGCCGATTAGCAGACATTGCAGTGATCAGTCCTCTCGATGCCAGGTTTCTGTACCCTTCACAATTTCTTCGCTGCTGCTGGCTTCATGGGTGTTTTCATCAGCATCATTGTTATTT